TATTTTTGTTTAAACTCCATTGCCTTGTACAATGTCACTAATACTCCACAAGTACATAATCTACCAAAACCAAGCTACTAAAAGTCAACCTTAGTGCATATACAAGAAGTTAAAAAAGCATTTAAAAAATACTAGTTATTTTATTTTTACAGTGTTCTTAATGGAATATAAAACATGCATACCTAGATCTTGAAGTAAAGAGAGTACAATTCAGAATTTTTTAATTACTTTAGATTACAAATTCTTCACCTTCCTACATTTCCCAGTATAACCCTGTTCTACAATACCTTAATTTTTAATTTATTTTTTTTATTTTGTTACTATGATTGAGTGAAAGTTACCAGTCCTCCTTCCTCCAAACAAAGCTATTCTACATGCTCTGTGGTACATTAGTATAAAAAGATACAGCCACAGAACACAGAAGTGGAAATAAAATGCCATCGCGGCAGAGGGAAGTGTACACACACTGGCTTTTAGCTCTCTGGGCAGGCAACATCTGAGCAGGACTCGGCACAGGTTTGCAATACTGTGATTGTGCCCTGCGCCACAGTTGCTAATTTCCAGTCCTGCTAATTGTCTACAGCTTCTGCTCAAGTTAGCTAAACTAGCATACGTATGCTTATCTGAACTGTGCTATTCCCATTGTACGTACAGCTTAGGGAAACATAGCTCAATTATGCAGGTATCTCTGACTAGGATTTAAGTCCATATGCTTCATCTGATGGAATTGCTAAATTAAAAAATTCTGAAATTTCAGGGAGTTTCCTACATGTCATCACCAAGAATGTTTCTGACTTGTAAGATAACTAAAAAACAAAAAGTACAATATGGGTTTATCTGCAATCCCTGTATTTATTACAAATATGAAGTTGCGGTGTTTCTAATTTCCTGGGTCAATAACTGACCAACGGCCATAATTATCAGCTCTATAAACTCTGCTCATCCTTGCAGAATTGGAGCCTTAACTCAAAGCTGTCCAACTCACAAATTCAACCTGCTACTGAATTATTTTGTAATTTCTAACACTGTGCCCTATGAATTAAGAAAAATGCAGTGACAAGTAACTGGTTCAGAAAAGCACAGACATTTTGTAAAAGGTGAATAAGCTGTTTGCTACATTCTCCAGTCGGCCATCAGGATTTGCTTCTCTAACAATTCTTGGTCTTAATTGCAAAATATAATAAGCTCCTTATGGGTGTTACTCCTTCTTGCATATAGAATCATAGAATCGCTTTGGTTGGAAAAGACCTTTGAGATCATCAAGTCCAAACTTTAACCTAACCCTGCCATCCCACCACTAAACCATGGCCCTAAGCACCTCATCTATCCTTCTTTTAAATACCTCCAGGCATGGGGACTTG